ATCTTTTCGTATCTTTCTTTTTACCCATTGTCAAATTTCAAGTAATGAATGTTTTGAAAATGATGCTAATAATTTGTGATTCAATTTTAAATACTCATTCATATCAAATTACATCAATGAAGCAAAAGGAGTTAAGGTTGGCAAAAATAAAGTTGTTTTCGGCAACATCTGTTAACAAGCTCATCTTTTATCAATTTATGTTCTTCAAAAAAGGTATTCATATTTGACATGAGAAATGATCATCTTTCTTTTACCTTTCATACATTAATAAGATTTTCCATTTCATACCTTTTTTTAACCTGTTACGATTCATTTGAAAAAAAAAACCACCTTGGATCATTCTCCAAGCTAAGAGGCAAATTTTGGAAAAAAACCTTTCACAAAAGTAAGGCAAAGGTCACAAAAGATCTTAAGGGCAAAAAAAAACCTAGAAAGAAGTAGTAAGCCATTTACATTTGAATCCTCTTTAAAAAGGAAAAATGTTGAAAAGATAAAATTGATAATTATAAGAAATGAAAAAGAAATAAAAAATGAGAAATATGCTTATGAAGAAAGAGGGCAGAATGCCATGGTATTTTATTTTGAAAAGAAATAATCATTTGGTTCGCAACCCTTTTAACATGCATGTTTTGAGTTTTTTATCAATTTTTCTATAACCTTTATATTTTACAAACATATTGGAGAATTTGGATGAGAATTTTTTAAGACCAAGGTTCTAAACTTCATTTTCATAAATAAAAGTTTTTACATGAAAATCTAATGAATACGACGACGGAGCCTCTTCAGAGTGAGATATTAGTCTCCATGAATATTCTTAAGGTAAGAAAATTATCTTTAATTGTATCAAACTATTGGAATAATTTTTAGATCAATTTTCAATAATTAAATTAGTTGGTAAAATTATAAAGAAACTTTACGGCTTAGATGATTTGAAATGAAACTGGCACTATCTTTTAGAAGGGAGTTGTGAGGGTGCTATAACCTTCCTCACGTGTAACTGCACTATCGAACCTAAGATTTGGTTTCGTGGATTATAATATACTATTTAAGATACCTAAGTTAATCTTTGGATTCATCTTTAAATGGGATAAATTTTGTTAAGTGATCAATCACATATTAACAAAAAAAAATTGGTGGTGACTCATTTAATCTATATCTAACAATAGGTTTACGAGTTTATATGTTGCTAATAATAACAATTAATTTATTTTAAATGGAATAACATAAAATATTCATCTCTATGTGAATATATAATTAAACTAAAGATAAGTTTAAAATATTTAACATGTACTTAAATTAGAATATAATTTAATAGTAATTAAGAACATTCTAAAATTAATTGAATTCTCATTATTTAATAATTAAAAAAGTCTTGGACAAAAAAAATTGAAAAAATGAAAAAAAAAAAGAGATATTTTAAAAGATCATTTAAAGTCATTAAACATTAGTAGAATAATAGTTTGTGTTATATTTATAATTAATATTTCTTTTAAAATAAAAATTAAATTTATGTTCAGATCATTTCGGATCAATATTTCAAAATTTTTAAGTTTGATCATTTCAAATTTAAGTTATTTTATTTTCAAATTAGTTCAAGATTAAAATTTTAAGTTTGAATCTATTTCTAATTTAAATTAGATGAATTGAGGTTGTTGGCTATTACATGTTAAAAAAAAAAAGAATTTGTTTAATTATTTAAAATAAGCTATTATATGTTAAAAAAAAAAAAAGAAAGTTAATCCCTCCACTAATAAATCAAGAGCCGAGGAAAAATAACTTTACAAACTTGCCCTCAGATTTTTGTGGACCAGAAAATTTGGAAGAATAGAAGCGAGTGACACTCACACAAGATAAACTCAAAAGACAAAGAGAAAAAGACCAAAAAAAAATAATAATAATAATAAAAAAATGACTTCGTGTTCCAAACTGAACTTTCCTTTTTCTTTATTTTGTTCTTCCAATATTCAAATTTTGATTTTCATCTAACTGCCATTGCAATTAATTTCGCTTATTTTTCTTTTTCTGCTCTATTTTTTTTTTCCATTATCTACTTATACTTTGGCTAAAATATAAAAATTCCTTAAACTATTCAAAACAATGTAACTAAACTCTTATATTATTATTTATTAATAAAAAGAACATGATTATATATAAAATTAATAAAAGAGAAAAATATTTATCTATATATAAAAATTAAAAAATGATTAATTAATTGATAATGTAATAAAAAATAATTAGTGAAAAGGAAATTTATGTATGTATAATTAATAAAAAAGGAAATATTTATATATATTTATATGAAAATTAAAAAATTATTTTAATTTGCTTTTTATTAATTTTTATATAAATATAGATATTTTCATTTTTATATAAATGTAAATATTTCATTTTTTAATTTTATCTGTAGACATTATTTTTATTAATAAATAATAATAATTTGTTATTTTTATTAAAACTATACATAAATTGAAAATATTTATTATTTGATACAATAATAAAAAATAATGAATGAAAAGATGTCCATATGCAAAATTAACAAAAAAATGAAAATACTTTTACGACCTCTAATGTACATGTTAGTTGACTAAATGTACATATATTTTATTTACATGTATATATGACAATCATTTGCAATTTTGAGCTAACCTTCATAAATATTTAAGATCATAAAGTAATTTTTTTATTAATTTTAAATATTAGTATTATTTTTTTAATATTTTTTAATTATGATACCAATTAAAAAAAATTTTTCAAACCACTTTTTTTCAATGAAAATTTTTTATTTTTTTATATTTTTTGTTGTGTATATTTTTATCACATAATTATCTACATATCTTAAAATATGTTAATATATAATTAATTTAATTATAAAAACTTAACTAATAAAAAATAAAATATTTTTAAAAATAATATAAAACTTTATTAAATTGTTTTGAATACTTTTTTTTCATATTTTAAATTTATTCTTTACCCTATTGCACTGATCTGGATTCACCTTAATTTTTTTTCTACGCGCCTCATTTTATTCTTATTCTTTTTATTTTTAAATACTTTATTATCATTCTCTTTTAACATTTTAACCTTGTTATTTTATCTTTTCGCACTAATCTCAAGTCACCCTAACCTTTATTTTTCTACTTATGCCCCTCAATTTGTTCTACTTTTTAAAATACTTTATTCCCATAAGCTCCAGTATCAAGACGAACGTGTCAATGTGACATGAAGCTTTACGTCAGCTTTATTTCAACATCATATTAATTTATTTAAATTACTTTAATAAAAAAATTTCTTACGTTAATGTGAATGTGATTCATTCTTTTTTTTATATATATTTTAACGTTATTCCTTTACCCTCTTACATTAATCTCGATTCACCTCCACTTTTTTTTTTCTACATATGCCCCTCAGTTTATTCTCATCTTTTCTGTTTTCTTAGTACTTAATTCTTATTCTTTATCTTTCTATTTTTCTTTGTCCGATTTTTCTCTCTTGCCTCCACCTACACTGCTTTCTTTCTTTTTCTTTTCTCCTTGTCCAGTTCCTGGTTTTTCACTCCCCAGAAGCATCTCATCTATCTTTTTCCAAGGCAACTTCGATATATTGCTTAAAACAAATTAATTTTTGAGTGCTTCATTGCCTTTCTTTTTCGTTTCCCTGCTCCTAGAGTTCAATTATGGCAGAATCATTTCTCTTCAATATTGCAGAAAGAGTTCTGGAGAAAATAGCCCATCTCGCTGTAGAAGAACTTCGTTTGTTGTTTAATGTCAAAAGCGATTTGAAAAAGCTCGAGGAGACCATGAGCGGCATTAAAGATGTGCTTTTGGATGCTGATAGGCAGCAGCACCAGAATAAAAATTTGAGCCGTTGTTTGTGGAAGCTCAGAGACATCTTTTATGATGCTGAAGATGTGCTTGATGAATTCCACTGTGAAGCTCTACGGAAACAGGTCATAAATCATCCAGGCATCAGCATATGGGTACGAATTTGGGCTGCATGCTCTTTCCCACTTTCATTCTCTTTAACAGTGGGTCATAAAATCGGAGAGATCCATCAGAGGTTAGACAAACTTTACACTGAGTTGAAGAGCTTTAATCTAGAACAGGGTGGCGATAACCGACATGTTATTCTCAGGGAGACTCACTCTTCTGTGAATTCTTCTGATGTCATTGGTAGAGATGTGGATAAAGAGAAAATCGTCAACCGTTTGATGGAACCAAGTAAGGCTGGAGACATCCCTGTCATTCACCATTGTTGGAATTGGGGTCTAGGGAAAACCACACTCGCTCACTCGTATACATGGACCATCGGGTTACTAGACTTTTCCCATTGAAATATGGGTCTGTGTTTCTGAGGAATTTACCTTATTTTTTTTGCTCAAGCTGATTATTCACTCCATCAACAAACGAGAAAAATGTGATGATTTACCAGTTGAGGCCTTGCAAACTTGTTTGCGAAGTTTTTGACTGATAAGAAGTTTTTGCTCGTTCTAGATGACGTGTGGAATGAAGATCGTGGGAGAAGGATTGAGTTAAGAGATTATTGAAGTCAATGGGTGACTTTGCTCAAAGTAAAATCATTGTGACTACTCGGAGTTTGAAGGTTGCCTCAATAATGAGTTCAGTTCACCCATTATGAATTGAATGGTCTCCCTCATGAAAGAAATGTTTGACTTTGTTTGCAAAAATGGGCATTTAATGATGGTGATGAGAGGCGGCATCCAAATCTCATGAGAATCGAGAAGAAATTGTAAAAAAAATGCAAAGGGGTTCCTTTGGCAGTAAGAACAGTGGGGAGCTGCTTTGTTCAGAAACTGAAGAATCCGAATGGATCTCTGTTAGAGATTGATGAAATATGGAGACTTCAGCAAGGTGAAGATGGTATTTTTCCAGTGTTGAAGTTGAGTTACAACCATTTGCCATCTCATTTGCAACGATGTTTTGCATTTTTGTCCTTGTACCCAAAGGATGAATCTATGATAGTGATGATGTCATCCAATTTTGATGGCAAATGGACTGCTTGAGTATTCAAAGCAAAAGCAAGAGTGGGAGGATGTTGGGAGGCGATATTTGAATGAGTTACTGTCAAGGTGCCTCATTGAGAAGGTAGAGGATTTCTTCTTTGCTTGTAGATTTAAAATGCATGATTTGATCCATGATGTTGGATTAGAGGTGTTACAAAAAGAGTGTAAAACAGTGAATTACCAAACAGAAAGTGTTGACAAAAAAACTCGACATTTATCATTTTGTGAGGACGGGCTGCTGGAACTTCCACAAATTTTGAAGAAATTAAAAAATGTTCGAACGGCAATTGCGCCAAAGGTTTCAAGGGAACCAAATACTATTGGTGACTCTTTTATCAATTTATGTGTCTCAAATTTCAAGCATCTACGGGCACTTAATTTAAGTGGTTCATTATTGAAGGCCTTACCAAATTCCATTGGTACCTTGAAGCACTTACGATACCTCAACTTGAAAGGATGTCGCCTAATACGGGAACTTCCTAGTTCTTTCTATGGGCTACGGAGCTTGCTAACGTTAAAAATGACTGCTGTTCCTTTGATGCAGTTGCCTGACAGCGTGCAAAGCTTGATTGAGCTTAGACATCTAGAAATAACTATTGAAGCTAAGCGTTTGAAAGAAATTAGACCAGGATGTTGGAGTTCTCTTCAATACTTAAAGTTGGCTAACTGTGAGAAGTTAAAATGTTTGTTTGAAGGAATGCAGTGCCTGACATCACTTCGAACACTTTATCTGCTTTATTGTCCTAAACTTGTCTCATTGCCACGAAGCCTGAAATTCCTAACCAAATTAGAAGAACTTTACATTGTTCATTGTCGTAAAATCAATTTACAAACGGAACCGGAAGAGGAAGAAGACAAAGACCTTCACTTGAGCCTTAAAACTTTCAGAGTATGGGGGTTAGCTGCATTGACATATTTGCCACGATTGCTGTTCGAAGGATCTTCTACCACCTTGCAGCATATAGAAATTGAATTCTGTTACAAGCTTGAGGTTCTACCAGCGTGGCTACAAAATCTCACATCACTTCATAAACTTGAGATCCGTCGTTGCCGAAGTTTGTTATCTCTTCCGGAGGGAATGGATCGCCTCACTGAACTTAGACAACTAAAAATTGAAAGATGTCCGATCTTGAGCGAAAGATGCCGACGAGATGGGGGTGCAGATTGGCACAAAATTGCACATGTCCAAGAGGTTGATATCATAGATGATTAGAGGTATGTAGTAAATGTTGAAATTCTCTATCAGATTTTATTTGCTCTTATCTCTCTTTCATGTTTTGCTTCTTTCAATCTTCACCAGAGGCCTTTTCTCCTCTTTCTTTAAAAACTTGTTGTACGTTGACAATAAGAATTTAGAGTTTCCTGTGTTATTAAGGTTGTTACATAAAACTTCTTTTTGCCTTAAATATCTTTTAAAGCTAACTACTTTTAATGGGAAAAATTTTTTGTTTCAAGTACTGCAGGTATATAATTTGGAGCTAGCTTCCACACAGAATAACAAGGTGAGCTTCATTTACTGCCATACACAATCTACTTTAACTATTATAATTAGAGAAATTATTCCATCTACTAAGATTTTAGACTTTGTAAGCGGGGTTAGTAAGATGACACATGTATATTCCACATTTCGTCGAAAACTTTCAAATCTTTTCCAAATTTTTTTTTTCTTTCTACATACAGCAACAAAACTCATGTTTAAGTAGAGTATTTAAAAAATATAATCTATCACTCTTTTAGACTTGCATTTGATTGCAACCATTGTCATTAGAATTTGTGTGAAATGATAAAACAAAAGGCCAAAATGGTAATTTGAATACAAAATAAGAATGCAAAATTTCTTTAGCTTTAGAACATTTTCAACCAAGATAAAATTTTCTTTGTTTATTTACTTTCTTTTTATAGAGTAACAATTTTTTATCATGGACCCTATATAATTCTAATCATTTTAATTTTGTTATTAAACACATTTGGATATGAAACATTTATATATTGTTTTTTTCTGATGTTCTATTGATTTAGTAATTAATTATCAGCTCTCTTTGTTAAGTACTCATTTCAAGTTTTAACCATTGCATGCAGCAGCCAGCAGATCTCATGATGGATGAATCAGCCAAAGCTTGCAGGCCATGGAAATTTTTACCCTGTTTGTTTGCATTAGATTTCAGGTTGTGGATTGTAATTCTAAAATATGTGTGAGCATTTTACTTTGTTTTGCTTCAGATTTCAAAGTCTTGCTTGATGGTTATAGATTGGAAGTTTAATTTGTAACATTTGTTGATGTACCTAAACTCGTTTGTTTGTTTTGTTGTTTGCATAATCTACTTTGGCTATTTATTCCAGTGTTCTGTTTGTCTACCACTCTCGTTGGAACCCTTGAGATAAATGACTTATTTTGTTTTTATATATGTGATTTTGAATTATACAAAATGATAGTTAAATCTCAATTATATTGGTTATCATTTTCTGTTGTAAAACTTTAAAAAACTTTAATAGACATTCAGGACTATCTTACCTCAATAAGATTCAACCCCACGTCATTTTAAGCTTTTGATTTTAAGCTTTTGATTTGGGCATATAACCTTTGTCAGGGACTCTACCCCACAGCTAAAACCTACTTTACTCAACATACCCATACGTGCAGCTTAAGGAAACAAAAGTTCTATGAGTCACTACCAATTTAAAAAAGTCACACGATCAGATCAAATAGTATTTCGTAGACTTACAACACCAAGTTAAATCCACAAATTAACTAAAAATCCCAACAACTTTACGAGTTTTCCTAGATTGAACAAATAAATGGACTTGAGTTCACAACAAGATTTTGCCAAATGCTCTAGAGGTTGCAAGCTAGTAAGTAACATCAATATCGGCAAATGAACTTCTGATTTAGGTCATTGGTTCTAGGCACCTTTCTCGCTGCAGAGCTTCTCAATGAGATCTGCAGCATCCTGAACAGTTGTGATGCTTTGAGCATTGTCCTCTTCCACAGTGATTCCAAATTCTTCCTCAAGTCCCATCACAATCTCAACCTGAAAAAGGAATTCCACCGATTACAACAAGAAGTACAAGCAAAAACCTTTAAGTTAAAAACAGCTAATTGACAGAAGGTAAAACAATCTAAGGGGTAAAGTGGGAGAGAGTTTAGAGTTGGGGAAGAACTAACAAAACAATGTTGTTAGTCAAAAAGCAACAAGGAAACTCAAAAGGAGAGGGGAGAGAGGGCTTCATGCTGTGGGAAGAACAAAAAGATAATTTTATTATGTTTGCCAAAATATAAAAGCTACAAAAAACTTTTCTTGTTTGGCCGTATGCATCCTTAGCCCAGACATGCCCCATTTTGTGCCCTGCAATAATGTTCCCTCCACCAACCTAGGTCTTTTAAGGAAGAAGCACAGCCTTAAAGTACATTCCAGAGTGGACATGCTGCTCTTGCTTCAATCAAAGCAAAACCTAGAGTTGTCAGGAAAGCTAAGATAGAAGCGTGGCATGGCTTAACATGGACAGCAAAAATAACTGCATATGCCCATCTTGATAAAGAAAATGAAGAGTGGTTTGAGAAAAAGTAATAATACCAAGGCCAAACACATAAACCCAGGCATCTAAAACAAATAGATAGGAAAAAAATTCATCAAACTCAAACAAATGCTTGCTCTCCTTGATCATGCACACTAGTTTTACCGTAATGAGATGAAAACGAAAAAGAACAAAAACCTAACAGTCAGAGTGTACCGTATCAAGAGAATCAGCTCCAAGATCAGCAAATTTTGATTCACCAGTAACCGGTTTGTCTTTTGCTATAGCTAGTTGTTTCCTTACTACTTCACATACCTTATCCACAGTCTCTGGTTTGGCCTGCCCAATTACATTTGACACAGGCATCAACATTACGTTATTAACCAAAAGTGTAACTGTGATTTCTAAATAAATGTCTAGATCATAACTATCATATTTACAACAAACCCTGCATAAGATGCACAAGAAGTATTTTAAAAAAATGACATTAATGAATATGCAGATATGAAGGACCTCATGCAACCACAAGGTGGGGAAAAAAACAGAAATGACAACAGATAAACAGATACTAGAAGCAATTGACTCGCACACCATTCCATTCCCCACGCCCCTTAAAGTTGACAACATAATAGCGTAAACTGAGAAAACAAACAATTAAACCATATTTTCTAACAACTCCGCATAAGAAATATCAAAGAGAAAAGAAATAGTTAAAATGTCTATACACTAGCAGGGGCAAGTCCACAAGTGGATTCATATCATTACAACATTTCTATACAATTAACTATTCAATGTTAATTTCATTGTCATTGGTCAAATGGACAAAAGACAAAAATGTAAACCCTGTTGTGTAGTCTTTGGCCCGACCAATGGGTATATAATAACCAATACTCTTGAAACTATTAACATTTCATTCAATGAGAACATACAGCACAGGAAATCCGCAAGCGAGCAGGCATTGGATGCAACCTAAAGGAGAGGCTGCTTCTTCCCTGGTTCATAAATGAAACCAATTTCAACCCAAAAACCCTAGTTGTAGCCTGTTAAAAGATGTTCAACAGCAAAAAAAAAAAAAAAAAGTCAATAATTCACATAAAAAGAATAGTTCTAGAAGAAACAACAATCTTCAAAGATATCTCAACACCTTATACCAAGAAAAATAAAAACTTTACTTTTGCACTACCATCATAGCCTATTTTACTACATTAAAAACAAAATCCAAAAGGAAAGCCAAAGACGTGCCATTAATATGCATAGTCACTCTAAACATCAATAATGTAAATACAACGTTATATAATGATATTTGACAATATGTCATTCAAATATGCTAATCCATGTTATAAATCAAATATAATTCCTCAGAAAATCATGTTTAGCAAAAACTAGAACAGCAAACCTTCTTAAACTAAAAACCAACAATACCCAGAATATCCATAGCTTTCCTCTCTACAAAAGCTCATTGGAATGCAAAAATAAACAATGCTCCCTCTGGTTATGATAAAATTTCAGATCTCAGATTACCCAGATCATATCAGTCATGAAAGAACTTGAATTAACAAAATTAACTGTGAAGCCTCATTCTGAACACTACGAAAATCAGCATCAGATTGAAAGCTAAAAACAAGAGGTAATATCTGAACAAGACCAACTAAAAGAACAAACAGATCGCGAAAAAAACAACTAACAAAGAATAAAAGAAATAAATGAACTGTAGCTATAAAGATTCGAAGAAGGAAAAGATTGAATAGATACCAGGGTGTGGCGAGGTTGCATGGAGATTGATGAACCAGCTATGGATGCCATTTAAGCGTGCTGAAGAGAAAAAAAAAAGGCAAGAAATGAGAGGAAATGCTAAAACGGCGGAGAGAACGAAGTGAGTGTGGGGCAGATGGGTTGTTGGAGAGTTATGGCTTTTATAGCTGGGGTTTTTCCATTTTTTATATTAATTTTGCATGATTGCTGGTTCACGTGATTTGTCATTTGTGATATCGGCAGGTATGGTACGGTATTTTATTTATAAGATTGGACTGGCCCAATGCAAATAAAATGAGGCTCAATTTGAAAAACAAAATGAAAATGCACTGAGCTAAGTCATGTTCTTATCTCTTCAAAGCCTAAACAAAATAAAAAAAATAATTATTTGATAAAAAAATTATATAATTTTTTAATTTTACGCACGAAATTAAAATGATAATATTTAGCAAATGATCATTGAAATTGATTCACTTGCGGTACTTCTATTCTTAAAACATTGTAATTCATTCAATTAAATTTATATTTGGATGTAACTGCACTTTTAGTATAATATAATTAAATTTAAATGTTAATTTTAATAAAATTTATTTTATATTTTTTTAAAATTTAAAGATAAATAAGTTGTTAAGTATCTCAGATCATGACAAGATATATGGTACATCATTATTAATTGAATTTAAATATTAATTTTAATAAAATTCATTTGATATAAATTTTTTATTTTTTTATTTTTTTTAAGAAAAACCTGAAGGTAGATAAACTGTTCAGTATCTCAGATCATGATAAAATGTATCGTACCTGACAACTTAAGATAAGTGATTGTAAATCGTGCATTCGAGATGACTCCAACAAGTGACCACTAATAAAACTCGAACTCAATATCTCTCTATTGAGAAAAACGAACTTTAACCTATTAAATCAATTATTTATTAGTAAATTTTTTATTAATTTTTTAATTATAATTATTATTTTTAATCTCATTACTTATCTAAATGATCTTAAATTAATTATTGATCAACATATTTTTAGAGACTCCTTTGAGTATTTTCGATTTATCCCTCTTGGATGTAAGTCGGTAAGAATTCCTAAATGTAAAACGCTTTGTCTTTTTTTCTTTTTTTTTTAGGTACTGTCATAACGTCTAGATCCGGGGATCTATCGCTAGACATTGGCTTTAGGGAGTCGCCACCAATCTTTTTTGTCTAGGTGCGATTGGCCACCTATGGAATCTATCCTTTTAGGGAACACCTAAGTTTAAGGGTTCCTAGAAAAATAGGTTCAGGTCTACAAACCAGAACAGAGTTCGGGAGTTCGGTTACGTGTGAGGAAGGTTATAGCACCCTCACAACGCCCATCAAAAGATGGTACCAACTTAAATTTGTGTTATCCAAAAGCCTTAAAAATTTACCAAGTAATTAATTATTGGAAATTTTTCTCAATTGACTCTAATACTTTTAACAGAAAATTGAGAAAATTCCCTCACCTCAGGAGTATGCAAGAAAAACTATTGTTTCACTGGCAGAGGCTCCATCGTCGGATTATTTAAAGAAAAAAAATAAAATCAAAATTAAGATAGAAAGGAAGGAAAGAATGATTTTTTTTTTTAGGGAAAATTGATACTTTCAACTTTTTCCTAAAAATATTTTTTGGAAATTTCGATTTTCAAGGAAAATTGATACTTTCAACTTTTCCTCAAAAACCCTTTTTTTGAAAATTTATTTCTAAGGAAAATTGATACTTTCAACTTTTCCCCAAAAATATTTTTTTTGGAAATTTATTTTTCTTTTAAGGAAAATTGATACTTTCAACTTTTCCCTAAAAATATATTTTTTTGAAATTTATTTCTGAGGAAAATTGATACTTTCAACTTTTCCCCAAAAATATTTTTTGGAAATTTATTTCTAAGAAAAATTGATACTTTCAACTTTTCCCTAAAAATATATATTTTTTGGAAGTTTATTTCTAAAAAAAATTGATACTTTCAACTTTTCCCTAAAATATTTTTTGGAAATTTATTTCTAAGGAAAATTGATACTTTCAACTTTTCCCTAAAAATATATTTTTTAGAATTTTTTTATTTTTATTTAAAGAAAATAAAATAATAAAAAATAAATAAAAAGAATATTACATAAACCTAATCTAATAAATAAAAAATAAAATAAACAAATAAACAAAGAAAAAAAAAAAAAACCTGGAGCGACTCGGATCGCGGCTCGGCTCGGCTCGGCTAAAGGAAAAGAAAACGGCTCGGGAGGAGCGGCTTGGCGGCTTGGCGCGGCTAGGCTAGGCTCGGAGGAGGGGCAGCACGCGCGGGTCAGGAAAGCGGGTCGACGCTCGGGTCGGGTTCGGGTTGGAAAAAACGCGCGGATCCTCTGGTTACTTAAGGCCAAAACGACGTCGTTTTGGGAAGGTATAAAAGGTAATCCCCTTCATTTTTTCGGTAGACCGCTCCTCCCTCTCTCTCTCTTCTTCCCTTTTCCTCTCCCTTCTTTCTAAAAACTGAAGAACACCGGTGCCGGATTCTGGAAAATATCATCGGAATCTGGAAATTTCGTCGGAAGTTGACCGGAAGATCGCCGATTTCTGGGATTCTTCGTCGGAAACTGGGCTGGTTGCCGAAAACTTCAATGTTCGCTGGAATTGTCGCCGGAAAATTCAAATTTCACCGAAATTTTCGCCGGAATCTGGAAATTTCTCAGAAATTTCCAAAAAAAATTTTCGCCAAAAATTTCTAAAAAATTTTTCTCACACTCAGAACACTCCTAAACTTTTCTTAGCTTCCTATACGCCTCTTTTTCTCTCAAATCAGTAGCTTTGCTTACTGTTTTCTTTGTGTTTATTCTGTTCCAGGAGGTGCTTTATATAGGGATTGATCAAGAGTTTCTGATCAATCCCAATTCCCCTTTGGACGGGAATTCAATCTTTGAATCCAGTCTGGACTCTTCTGATTGAATTCCCACTCCCAGTGGGATTCTTCAACTTTCAATCCTAACCCTCCAAAATAAAAAAAAATAAAAAAAACTAGATAATTAGAGAAGATAAATCAACAGATATTATAGGATAAATAAAATAATAATAATAAAAATATATCAAATATATAATTAGATAAGTAAAAATACAAAAATGAATAAAATAAAAAAGATAAAAAAAAATATATATATATATACATAAATAATAAAATACACATAAATATTAACAAAAAAAAATATATATATACATATATTAATACATAATAATAATAATAAATAATACAATACATAAAATACAAAAGAAGAAAAAAAAATACAAGATAAAATTGAATTGAACTTACCCATTTAGATTAGGCCCAATTGATTTGGACCGGACCCAATTAGATGTTTACAGGTACCAAAAAAATTGAAGTAAATACTCGTATACTACCATTATTTAGCGTCATAAGAAAGTTTTTTGTCTTTATGCTAGATAGTGGGCTGGAAAGGAACTATATAAAAAATTATTATTTTATATATTGACTGTGAAATTTATGAATTTCGTAAATCAAGTTACATGCGTCCATTTCGGAGTCAATTTTTATGACAAAATCTTGTTAACTCTTTACTAATAATCACGTGACGACTCATGTCATTTGCGTTTTTTTTTTGGCTTTGACTTCATCTTTGCTTCATATGATGGGAAAGACTTTAAAGTTAAAGTCTTTGCCAAATGTTGAAGTAACTAAGCTTATACTTTAAGAAAGTTCTCTGAAAGATTAATTTTAAATGTAGATCTGTGAGTCCAATTACAAAGAAGCTTGTAATTGTGGTCAACCGTGAATTTTATTTTCCAAGACTCAGTTTACACTTCATCTTTTATTTTTTGTTTTAATTTTTAGCTCTTTTCGATTAGATAATCGTAACTTAGACAAATTTTTTAAGTGAAATTTATGAAATTTTTTATTAAACATATTTAATAAAAACGTTAATAAAAAATCAAATGAATAAATTAATGAAATTCAATAAAAACATAAATAATATATAAAATTATTAAAATTTTATTTATAATTCAAAGTTTAATTTTTCTTGTTTAACAGTAAAACAATTGTCAATTTTGTTGGTAAAAAAACTTGAATAAAATATATATCTAATATTTAAAAAAATTTTCAAATTGTACACATTTAATCTGTGTAACAAATTATTTTAATTTATTATCATAAAATTTTTTAATTTTAATTTTAATTTAATTATTTTAATAAAAATTTTCATAAATTTTATGCTACTCTTTCTCGTTAATGAAACAACATTGTCACAGTAAACTTTTTTTTTTAATTTATTTAATGCACACACCTACAAATAATGCAATTTTATTTTTAATGGTTTACATTTTGCGAGCCTTCCCTACTAGACAGTTTCATTGTCAATAATTAAATGTGATGAAAAAAAAAAAAAAAAAACAACCAGGTTCCCAACCATTTAATGGTGGTCACAAATGGAAGCTTTAGCAGTGGTTTTCACGTACCAATCGATCCGCTCCTTAATTTCTTCATGGTTTCTGTCAAGTTCTCCCCAACCACCTGATTGTCTGGTTGGTTTATTTTCATTTTCATGATTCCAATTAGTAGTCCTTATTGGCATCAAATATTTAAATTTAATATTTGTGATTTTTTTTATTTTTAAATTGCAACAACTTCTTTTATAATTTTTTTTTTTTGACATCATCGATCCAATAGCTACCACATCTTCGTTTGCCGACCAAGGTTTCATCATTTTGCAGGAATCATTTTATTAATTAGTGATTAAAGAAAAAAAAAAATCAAATACCATATATTTAATTGCGACAAAAGCAAAAAAAAAAAAAAAAATTTAAAATAATGATATTGTTCAATTATTTTTACGGAATCACATATTTTATTATTAGTGATTAAAGAAAAAACGTGGGTAACTTTTTTTTTTTATTATTTGGATAAAAACAGCGACATATATTTGTTCCACTATTTATAAAGTTATTATTAAAATAATTTATTTATTGAATAAATAAATAAGTAAGCTATAAGCTGTAGGATGTTAACTGAAGTTTACAAATTTTAATTATCTAAAAATTTACAAATTCCATTATCAATGATAAATCATTATCTAATTACCAAAGAAATCATTATCTTCAATAAAATAAACTAT